ATTAATTAAATTAGTAATTAAAAATTAAAAAGTTTTCTTTGAAATTTTAAAGTAGGAATCAAAAAATGCAACAATGCATCAGAAGTTGATTTGGGATATTAGAGCAGGAAAGATATACTTTTTTATATGACACTGCTGAATAAGCGCAACAAAGATGTATGATCACATGTATAGGTACGTGAGTGGGTAGAATCTTCACGCGACCTATGGCAAACTATTATCTGGTTTTTTACAGCTCATGGTTGGCAGTGTACATCTTAACTTACACGTTGTAAATTTGTGTGCATGCGTTTTCTATATAAATGCTTACGTGCGTCATTATGTATGTATGTGTGTCGCATATAAATTCATCTATTTGTATGTGCTTATGTATGTTCAATATATTTGAAAATTGATATTTAATATTAGTGGACTGTATATGTGTTTATAATAAATATTAAATGGCATCCCTTAGCACCAACGCACATGTTGATTTTTGAGCATTCTCCCGGGAGGCAAAAGCGATTGCTGGATAGGGGCCCGTAGCTTGCGATCCTGTCATGTTCGTCAACTAAGTGACGTTCACGATGACTATGCGCCTTCTTGTGTTGAATAAGTGATATTTTACTCGTGACTATTTCTCTAAATTCTCACATTGGATCATCCACTTCAACATATCTTTCTGCAAAATTTTTTATCTCACCTTTTCCATTATTTCAATCTCCAAAGGAGAAATTTTATTGTTGACTTCATTAAATGTGCATTGCTCCTCAAAAGTAATTTCCTGTAGGCACATATTGTATTTCTTCGATATGTCATCTATGCGATGCTTCTTGAAGGTTATTTCTTTTACGCGCAGCTTCTGTTTCTTCGATATGTCATCCATGCGAGGCTTCTCGAAGGTTATGTCTTCTGCGTATAGCTCATTTTCTCTATTTTCTAAATTTCCTTTATGTTTTTTAATCTTTTCATAATGTCAGTGACATCAAATGATAGATCTTCTATCTTAACATCAAAATATCAATTGTTGAAATAGACTGTCAATTAGTGGATTTTTTTTCAATGTTGCTCCGTAAATTCATAGGAAATTCTTCATATCTTTCAAGGGCGTCTTCGTCAGCAATATACATTTTTTATTTTTCCTCTTCAATTATGGATAGAGTTTTTGCCGATATTTTTACAATTGCCTGCTCTAGAAGGTTTATTCTATTGGCAGTTAGGCTTTTTTCTCTAGCCCTTATGTCCATCTCTTTGGACGCTAGTTCCTTTGTAAGCTCCTGGACTCGCTCCCGATTATGTTCGGCTTTCTTCCATATATGTAGTATGTCTTTCTTTCAACACTCTATTCTTCCGTTTTAAAATAAAACTGCACTGCGTTTCGTATTCAAATTAACAAAGTTTATTTATTTCTAATTTAGAGTAATAAGTGAATTGCGCGGAGCTTAAGATAAGAGATTGCTCTGTTTTGTGTGAGAGTTCGCGATTAACTGTCGTTCGCTTTAGTCTTTCGTTTTATCAGTGTCATGTCATTGTCGTGTCATTGTCACAGGGTTGTATTTTAAGGTCCGTAAGTATGTCCGCTTCGAGTCCTTGATACATTTTCCACATTCGGCCGTCCTACGGCTTCATTCGTCCCGAATGAAGGATTCCACTTCTTCATGAATTCGGCAACAGTTGTGGTGCGCCCTGGGCCTTCATGGTCTCCGATTTTTACCACTTCGTAGCAATCATGCTCCATCTTCTTCACAACTCTGTATGGCCCGAAATATTTGGGCTTCAATTTCAAACACGTTCCATACTGGATACGCTTAATGGCTACCAGTTCGTCAATGTCGTAGTTGGTTGCTTTTCGGCGACGTGAATTATAACTATTACGATTCTCCTGCTGAATTTCGATGATCTTTTTCTTAGCTTGTTGGCGCACTGCATCTCGATCAGCATTAAGTTCATCGATCGCGGCTTAATCTAGCATTTCCTGTACTTCTGGAATAACCGGAACACGCATCTCTAAGCCCGTCAGTATTTTGAATGGGGTCGTCTTGGTACTACGAGGTGGAGTGCTATTTATGAATTGTTGCACTTTATCGACGTGTTTTTACCTTCGTGACATAGTTTTGACACCATGGGTACTACGATTTTGTGTATTCGCTCTACTTGGCCATTTCCTCTTGGAATTCCGGTCGCTATTAGTAGATGCTCAATACCTTCGGATTCACAGTAGTCTTTGTAGAGATTTGATGTAAATGCGGCGCCTCTATCGGTGATTACACGCTTTGGATTACCAAATATTGCAGGATGCTTCTTCAGGCGTTCTACAACTGCCTCTGCTCCAATATTTTTCGTGGGATAAAGCCACACAAATTTCGAGAAAGCGTCAATAACAACAAGTATGTAGTTGTATGACATGATCGAGATGGAAAGTTCCCAATGGTTTGTCCTCTTTGTTGATATGATTCAGCAATCCTTCTTTCTTTCCAGATTTAGCATCAGTGACAATACACTCAATACAGCTTTTCACTATCGTCGTCACTTTTAAATTTAATTGCGGGATAAAGAATGATTTCTTGACAGCGTCTTGCGTTTTCCTAATGGAAAAGTGACCTTGCCGATGTGCCATCTTGATGATTTCATCTTCCATCGACAACGGTACGACTATCAGCTCTTTATCTGGGTTTTTATACAGCACTTCGTGTTTTATGTAGAAATCTTCGTAGTCATCCTTCTCCAATGCTTCTCGTACGGCTCGTCCAATCGTCGCTTTGTTGAGCCTTCTTGAGTCGATGATTTAAAGAGTCTTCCAACATCAAGCACGAGACACTGCTCAAAGCGTCGACATGTTACATTCTGGTTCCTTTTCTATGTTCGATTACATCAGGGAAATCGCCCAACGGGATACACGTAGTGGTACATTTCTTCATTATCACGGCAAAGGCGTTGCAGTCAGTGACAATCTTAAACTTGATGCCCATCAGGTACACTCGCCATTTCTTTAGCGATTCCACAATCGCTAACACTTCTAACTCGTACGAATGGTACCGCTCTTCTGCAGGTTTATTATTGCGACTCATGTATTTGACCGGGTGGAAATCCTGATCGGCGATATCTTTCTGCAGCATCACAGCTCCGTAGCCAAACATGCAAGCGTCCGTGTGCACTTCAGTTACTGCTTTTGGATTATACAGCTTTCAAATCGGAGGATTCATTAACGCTGTTTTTAACTGTTGATCAGCTGCTAGATGCTCCTCTTCCATCCTGAACTTTATGTCCTTTCGCAGTAGATCGGAGAGTGGTTTTGCAATTACAGAGTAACCTTCAACGAATCTTCTGAAGTATGACGTCAATCCCAGGAAACGTTGCATTTCTGTACGCATTTGCATTTCTTCGTAACAGAAATTGGCATTTACTCCATTTTATCTGCAACGCATTTGATGCTGTTGTCAGTAAAACGCGCTCCAACTTCAGGATACCTTCTTCTTCGTCCTTGGAGGGAATGATTAGGTCATCCATGTAGGCTACCACTGTTTCATCTTGGATTAGTGCTCTCAGCACAGCCACAACAAATCTAGTGAACACTGCCGGCGAGTTTGAGATTCCAAATGGTACGTATTGAAACTCATATTGCCCCTTGTATGTTACAAACGACGTGTATTTTTGCGAATCAGCCTGGACTGGAACATGGAAAAATCCGTTTCTTAAGTCCAATGTTGTAAAAACGTTTGCTCCATTCAATCGTTTGCTGACATCATCCATCATTGGCATAGGGAAATTATCAGGGACTATCTTTACATACAGTCGTCGATAATCACAGCAGAGTCGTTTTCCTCCATCTTTCTTGGATACAAGTGTTACTGGTGACGCGTAATTTCATATACTGGGTTTAATGATCTCTTCTGCCAGCCACTGCGTCACTTGCTCGTCCACTACGCATCGATCAGCGTAGGACATTCGTCTCGGTCTCTCGAACACAGGATTGTCGTCGATCAACAAAATTTTCATTTCGACTGGTGACTGAAATTTCTCACAAGGATATATGCGCTAACCATTTATTTCACCGCATCTGCTTGCTCTACCTGTAGGTGAGATACGTTCACTTCAACGTAGGGTATCTCATTTATGCTTTCGACCAGACATAATTCACCGAACTCCTTCATCAGCTGTACAACTCGATTTTCGCCCGCAACTGCCACTGATTTTTCTGCTATAACAGCGCTTTTGCCTGCGCCTTCATTACACAGCTTCTCCATAGCGTTTCACATTGGTGGATACTCACGAGGCTTCTTAGCCACAGCAGCGCGCACGCTTACGTACTCGCTGTGCTCTATAGCCACCGCCTTTTGCATACCACTGTTTCGGCTCACAGTCTTTTGCACCTGCTTGGGCTCACCCGTGACTTTAGTGTCCAGATCGACGGCTTCAGCTGCATGCTCCTTAGCATCAGCACCATCCGAGCTCTTCTCGCTATGCTTATCAGCCAGTTGTTGCACCTTACGTTGTTGTTTTCCTGTTTCTTTTTGTATAAACATCCTTCAAAATGTTGTTACCAATTACTAGAGCATACTTCAAATCAGTCTCTTTAGCAACATGGAATTTTATTCCTAACCATATGCCATCAACTTCAACGCGGATGGAGAAGCTACCTATTGTTGTAAGTTCGCTGTCCCCAATTCCGACCAAGCATACTCTTTCTTTTGTCAGCTTTACATCCAGGTCTAACATCAATAATGTATCGTATCGCATCAAACATACATCTGCACCCGTATCGATTAATGCCCAAACACATACTCCATTCATCCAAATGTCCTTGAAAGTTGAACTACTTTTCTTATTGGGCTTTACTGCTGCTTTTGTTATCATCATATTTGTGCTTTTCTCCTTCTTAACTGATTTTTCAACTGTAGCTCACTCTGTTGCTCGGTGACCTTCTACACCGCATTTGAAGCCTTTCATCTTTTTGCGTGGACAGTCCCTAGCAAAATATGAATCATTTCCACAATGGTAGCATTTTTTCGCTGAACTGCCTGAACTTGACGAAGCTATATTTGATGACGTAGACGAAGTTTTGTTTGCGTTGAGGAATTGAGATTTTGAAACAGGAACTTTTTCATAAACCTTCAGCTGCTCCTATAGGTCTTTTACGGTTTTAGCCTGGTACAAATTTGCTTTACCCGCCTTGGAATCCGGAATGCCTTCAATGAAATACTCTATCAAGCTGGTGTCGTCTAAGTTTATCGACTTGCCGATCTCCATCAAGCTATAGAGATATTCCATGAAATCTTCCCCTTGACGTTTGCGACGATTACGTAGTGTGCGATGAATTTCTATTGACGATACAATAATTCCAAATTCAGTTTTTAGCGCCTGTTTCAGTGAATTAGAAATGTTGATACCGCGCTGACTTCGAACAAACATTTTTGCTGCACCCTTCGAAAGCTGCTTTGCATAAATGAATTTCTGCAACTCGTTCCAGCGCACCGCTTCTGCATTCTCCTCGAACTCTTCCAGCCATTGCTCGATGCTTGGTTGCCCCGAACCGGAGAACGATGTCAGCAAATCTTCAATATCTCGCAAGGTAAACACTGATCGCTCAATCATTCGCACGCTCCAGACAGCACTACGTTGACTTGCAGCATCGTTATAATCGCTGTCTTCATTGTCGCTCACATTCAGGCCGAAGTGCTCTAGTAACCGGTCCTGCAATGTCGATTTTCGTCCGGTGGTCGCTAATCCCAACCCACCAAATTTCTCTTTCAGTTCCTGTAGGTTGAAACCTAAAATTTGGTCATGGTCCAATTTGTCTTACAATGTTTATTAAATACAAAAGAATTTCAGAAGCAGTATTAAATTATTGTAGCAAAATCAATTGAATTTTAAAATGTATTGCTCTGCAAACAAAGGTATATGTAGCTTTAATTTTTAATTCAATCAAAATTTGTCTTAAAACTTTTCTTTTAGCTCTTTTTTCTCAAAATTATACCATTTACTTCAATTTTACTTCAACTTTTTACTTTCAATCAAAGTATAATTTCTCAACGCAAAACATGAATCAAAACTCAATATAAGAGCTAAAATTTTTGTTATTGCGCAACAAAATACAAATACTTAGCTCTAATGCTACAACCAGCTTCAGCTACGATTTTTCAAATTTCATCCCTCACTGCTGTCAATTTGTAAACATTCTCTCGTTCTCCCGCGCAGCCGTCAACTCTTGTAAGTACTCTTCACCGTTCTCTTACGTAGCCAATTTCGCATGCTCTCGCACTCAGCGCTACCGCAGTCGACGCCTCTCTGCTGTCGACAAAGCCACACTTGCTATGTGACGTCACTCGCACACAACGCAACTTCTGCTCGCAGCTCCTGTCTACGCGGTCGCACTGCTTTCTGTTCCAGCTGAACGGCAGTTTCCACACACAACGCAACTTTTGCCTACTGCTTCCGTCTACGCTGTCTCACTCCGTTCTGTTCTCAACTGAACGGCGGTTTCTCTCTCAACGCTGCGCTGTTTATCTCTGCTATTGAACTGTTGACGTCGCTGTCTCTTTTCTGCGCACTTATTGTGAAATTTGAATTTTTCGCTCTGCTGCTGAACTGTTGGCGTCGTCGCCTACTTGTCTATATGCGCGTTGCGAAAGCCGTTTTCTTCGTAACGGTTTTTAACTTTCGTTTGTCCTTTTTCCTATGTTTAAACAAACATATTTCACAATTTTTGCCACAGTTTGTTTTTTTTTCGCGGTTTTTCGTTTTAAAGAACGTTTATTACGATTTTAGCGCATTGGCTTTGATTTGGTGATCAATCGGTTTTTCCGCGGCACCAATTCAACGTAGTGGTCTTTTTATATCA